GATACAAATCTTAGTAGGTAGAGCTCCTGGGTAGCTCATAAATTTATTATTCGTATTCGGTTCAACATATTAGCGAGCCATCCACATTCTTTGGCTTGCTTGAACTAATGATCTAACAATAAGTGCTGGTTAAACTACGCTGAGAAAAATCCAATTGTTGGGCCACAACTTTGATAATCGCCAGAGTTTAGTTGTGCAAAAGTTAAGTCACTAGGCAGGCTGACAACATAAATCCCTTGCACCATTGCTTTGGAGATTTCGCATTCTTCGGATAGTTTTGAGGCTCGATGCGAGCAATTTCGTAACTTCCTTCGAAAATTTTCTACATTTCTCTGAAGCGTGTCCTTGCGTGATTTCAACAACTTCAACAAAGCCTTCCAAAGTAGTAGCTTTTGTAAAACTTCCCGCAGCTTGCAAGTAGTCCAAGTGTATCTTTGGCTGTCGCTTCAAGCTCTTTTCCATTGCTTCGATGTCTTCTTCGTTCAGGTCCGAGTGCTAGGAAACATCCATCGGCATACTGTTCAATGCGTGCTCATGATTAACATGTTTAATGAAAAGATATTTCTGTTTTTATGGTGAGTACTATTTCCACATTTCATTCACAATTACAGCAGTTCTCATAGCACACATAGGCGGCGCATAGTACCCTACAAATGACTTCACGCTATAGGCAATGATCTCAAATGCAACACTCACAAAAAGTCGAAAAATATTTTCAGACCACTACACCTTTAGTAGCCTTACACGTAACGCATCGAGGTCGTCCCCCCCCCCCAACCTCGAGATTGGGTCGCAAATTTTTGAAAGTTGCGCACTTCAGATGTGTGTTTGTCATACCACCCTCGGTGTTCGAATATAACCGACATTCGTTTATATATTTTTGATTTTCGATCGGTTTTGGTTTGATCGAAATTCTATTTTTCTGATTTTTTCAATATTCGTCATTCGATGGAAGTTCCGGATTTTTCCAAGTATACTGAAGTGGTCTGAACTGGTATATGCCTCTCGTTGCATATACGGAATACAAAAGTACTGAAACGAAAACTAAAGTAAAAATGTCCGCTCCACTTCCAGATTTTTGGATTAGCGCTAGGCAGATGGAAATGTATGAATTGATCACTTCGTCCAAGCAGGCGCGAAATATGAGTGGTTAAAAGAGAATAAGTAATAGGGAAATCAGAAAAGTGACGAAACACAAAAATGAATATTAGTTTACTGTTGCGGAGCCATAAAAGGTGGAGAACGAGATTGGTGGCTTGGTTATCAAACTTTGCTGGAACTTACTGCTTTCAGGTTTTGGTTCCTCACCGTTGGTGTAATCACTGTTTTCAACACTTGCTATTGGATACTGATAATGTTTATTCCTAGTCAGGTAAGGTTACAGCGAAACGCATGTTATAAAAGAGCACTTGCGTACTCAGACCATTCACTGAACCAAACATTCCAGGGTATGTCATTTGTTCGGAAATATTTGCGTGTACTTGCTGACCATCCAGCTAAGCCTATCGCCGACGACGTCACTCTGCGGAAGTTCACCAACAACTTTCTGCGGAAAGACGGTAATTTATTGCTTTTTAGTTGAGTATACTAGGGTACTCGGGCGAGGCGAACGAAAGAGACAAATAATGTCTGTGAAACGCGTATTTTTAGTAATTATCTCGGCATCACAGAATATTTGTTGCTTCTCTCATCAATACAAAATGACCCATGTGCTATATCGCTCATAAATCTCATCTTTCAAGGCCTCAAGAATTTTCCATTCCTTCTGCAGAATTATTTTATCTCTACCATCATTTTACACCCAGGGTGAGACACAAAACGAAAAAAACGAATAAGTTAGTAACGAACCAAACCATCTAAACTTCATCAATAATAAAGCACTCTGCAGAGTGCTGTTTACATAACTCCAGAAACATCTTACTCAACAGAAAATGGAATAAGAAGAGTAAGCCATCAATATTGAGGAATATAGCCAAAAGACTGTGGGGCGTCCAAGGATCAATATTTGTTCGGTATTTATCCGTAGACCTAACAATCTAGCCTGTGATCACTTGCCACCTCCGGGGATTATTGACAAGTATCAATAGTATCCACTTTATTTATATCCTTCGTATCTATGTGGAGGATGAAAAGACTTGACTAACCACTTTAGGTGTCTTCATGCTGCGAATGATTTCAACCCATGCTGGCGAACTGATGAGTAGTGAACTGATTTTGGCGCTTTGGCAAGATTTCAACAACGTGGACCGGTCACCAACGCAGTTTTGGGACGCCGAACACGGTCAAGGCACCCTTGATTGAAGTCGTCTTGTACTTTCCCTTTTCATGTGCAGAGATCTCTAGGTATTTCTGGGTCATCGGACTTATGAATCTCTTGTGTGTAATCCATAGGTACATGTACTATGCCACCTTTGTACAGACGTT